GACACTGACAGAGAGATCTGTGTTCAGGAAGTTTACTGGAGACTGTTTTCAGTGTCAACACCTGTTGGGAAAGAGGATGTAAATGATGGAGGACTGAACAGAAGAAAGAGCTGTGATAGTTGAAGCAAAGGGATCATCTGGTTTCACAGGGAGATATGAGGTAGCCCAGAAGTGCTGCCCTGAGTGGAAGCAAGGGATATGAACCTTTACAATCCTGAATGATCAGTTATCAGATGTGAGCTGCCCAGAGAAGATCCTGTCTTTGAGTGAGGAAACTCAACCCAGCCAAGGGCAAGCACAGGAGAGCAGGTGCTTCAGGGATCTATATGGTAACTACTGCATCCACCAAATCCATGTGATGGGTTTTCAGGTGTCGAAAGGATCAGAAATTCCTCTGCACCTGGATCAGATAAGAAATGGAAAGCAGCCAGGCTTAGTGGCTCAGCCTGTAATCCCACGCTTTGGGAGACTGAGGTGAGTGGATTGCCTGAGCCCACGGGTTCTAGACGCGCCTGGGCGACTTGGTGAGACCTCATCTCTACAATAAATCAAAAAGAAAATTAGCCGGGTGTGGTAGCGTGCGCCTGTAGTTCCAGCTACTCAGAAGGCTGAGGCAGAAGGATCGCCGGAGCCCTGCAGGTAGAGGCTGCAGTGGCCGGGAATGGCCACTGCACTCTAGTCTGGGTGACAGAACACAAGTCAGCTGACAGCATTCCCGGGACTTCTTCACTGCAGGTATCTCCTCTGGAAGGACCAGCCATGGCTTCTGAGCCATGTGCAGATCCACCATCAACCCACAATCAATCTACAGGTGAGTGGGTTGCATGAGCTGCCTGAGGGCCCACAGTACTGCAGCCTTCCTGATCTCACAAAGTAGAAAGACTGGGGCTAGAGTTAAAGGAACCTCTGGATAAACACTTCTGTTGCAGAAAGGAGTATTTTTTATGTCACTCACCCACAGGCATTTGGGATTCAGCTTGCAGAATCAAACGCAGAGCAGAGGCTAGGAACTAAAGGGATAGTGCCACTCTGTAGTGGGGTCTATATCTGGCAGCTGGTGTTTTGGGTAAACCAAGTGATAATGGGCAAATCAGGTCATTTCTCTGAGCCTCGGTCGTCCCATCTGTAAAGTGAGGCTGAGAGTCATACCTCTTGGGACCATTGTTCTAAGGTGGAAATGAGTTATACAAAAGGAATTCACCCCAGCAGCCATCAAGTGCCACATAATTGTCAAAGTTTTGGATACAGTTTCTGTGTTGTTACTTCTCAATTATGTCCAGATAGTAATATTTGAGTAGCTAAAAAAACAAAACCATGTGGTAAACCATGAGAGAAAAGAATTTTCCATCACCCTTCCTGGGAAGATAAATTAATTCAAAAACAAGCTGGCAATATCTAGTCAAACTGGAGGTTTACTCTCTCTAAGAAGCAAAACTCTCCCAGACATGCACAAGGGATACAGATAGGATGTTTGTAATAATAAAGAATTAGTGAGAAACAACCTAATTGTCCTTCAGGAGAGAAATTAAGGAAGTTAAGTGGATAGATCCAAGCAACATTAAGGAAATCGATAGGGATGAACTGGAGTCAAGAGCTAGAGACCAAGGTAGCAAGGATGATGCCTGTGCTTTGAATTTGCTCAGCAGTACCATTCCCTAAGACAGCAAGCAATGGAGGAGGACTGGGTTTGGGGGTGCTGTCTGTACATTCTGGAGGAAAGTCTGATGCCTATACATGGACATGTCATGTGAAAAGTTGGACAGATGAGTCTAGTACTTAGAGAAGCCTTGCCAAAGGGAGACTCAAACTTCACCTGTAAGATATGACCACTTGCAAATCTAATCTTGAATTGTTCCACACATCTTTAAGATAAAAAAATAGTAAATTAAATTTTTTGAAAAACTTAAGAGACGCCTCTGATGGAGACATAAATGGAGGTAGGGAAGAAGAGGATCATCGATGAATAAGTCACAAGGGTAAACAAAGCTGCCAAGGGAGTGAGTATAGAGTAAAATGATAGTCTAGGACTGGTCTTTGAGGAACTGTAACTATATTTTTAACAACTTTATTGAGGAATAATTGACACAATAAACTTCACATATTAAAAGTATATAATTTGATACGTTTTGACATAAATACACCCATGAATCCATTATTACATTCAAGAAAATGGACATACCCATCATCTCCAAAGTTACTGTGGCAGAGAGGGACTAAAAACAGTTAAAATTGTTCCTTTTAAAGATCAACCTGCAGGCTCCAAACCTGATAGACATGAAGCTTGAGCAAACTAAATAGCCACAAGGCACTTTCCTGGAAGTGCAAGATAGTAACCAATTCTCAACCTTACCCCCACATCCTCTCTTTGTGAAGTTTTTGTTTACAACCCCTGCTTGTCATGTACACACTGAGACAATTTGTTCTTTGAAAATCTGGTTTTGCTAAATACCACCTTGTAAATTACAAAGAAAAATGTATAGCCATACAACCTGAACCCCTCCCTTACCTAAACTAATCTATAAAACCCCTTTCCTCTTTCTCCCGGTTGCTCAGCCTTGGAGCATTAGCCCGCTGAGTCAAGTGGGCGCTAATAAACCACAACTTCCTAAGATAGCTTCTGTGTCACAGCCTGTTTTCCCACAACATTTCCAGGTGTTTCTTTGCAATGCCTCTCTCCTTCTTCTCCCCATCTCTATCCCCAGGACACCCCTGATCTACTTTCTGTATTTTCTAGAATATTATATACGTGGAATAATCAGAATGAGGTCTTTTTTGTCTGACTTCTTTCATTCAGCCTAATTATTTGGAGTTTAATCCATGTTGTTCATGTATCAATAGTTCATTTCTTTCTTGTGGCTGAATATTATTCATGGTATGGATATACCACAAACCGTCTCTCCCTCACCAATTTATGGGCATTCAGGCTGTTTCCACTTTGAGGCTATCACCAAAAAAGCACCTTTGAATACTGAGAAGTTTTTGTAGGACATATGCATTAATTTCTCCCAGGTAAATATCTAGAAGTGGAATGGCAGCATCTTAAGGTAAGTATACGTTTAACTTTTAAAGAACTGCCAAGCCATTCTTCAAAGGGAGAGTGTCATTTTACGCTCCCGCTAGCAATGTACCAGAGTTCTACTTGCTTCACATCCTCGTTGATAGTTGGTATGGTCAGTTTTTTCATTCTAGCTACTTAATTGTAGCCATTCTAATTGGTGTATAGTGACATTTTGCTGTGATTTTAATTTGCACTTCCCTAGTGACTAAGGATAGAACTTCAACTTTTAGCAACTGGAAGAAAACTGAACCTATACAAGAGACCCAATGGGGTAGACAAGGATGTAGGTAGAAAGCCAGGAAAGTGTGACAGAAGTCAGCAGGAAAAATAGTTCAAAGAGAGTGAGTCAATAAGGTCAAATGATGCTAATCGAGGATTGAAAATTCTTGTTTGGGCTGAGTGATGTGAAGCTTACTAGCACCTTATCAAAAGATGTTCCAGTAGCAATTGGATCCAGCTTCCAGTATCCTCCACATTTTCAGAATGAGTACCATGTGTTGCCTGCTGGGCAGCACCATCTCCTCTGGGGTCTGGTGCAAAGACCACAATGCACCTTATTAAATTCACAGGGGAGAGTTTAGACTCTGGTAAGTACCACTCCTGTAGTACAGGAGTCCACAGGGACCCTCCTCAGAGCTCCTGAGGTTAAAGCACCAGCTAGAACCTCTTTATGTGGTTTCAAATTTCTAGGGGGTGTCACTGGTTTGTTTCTCTGGGAAGCCAACTCTGAGATCCAGATGAGCATGCAAAAGATTTGTTGGAAAGTGGTCTCCGAATCATCATTTCTGGAAGGGAAGGGATAGCAGTACTGGGCAATTATATAGTCTGCCAAGGGTTCAGCCATCCCCACAAGGACTCTGTCACCAGTTGGGGCACCAGTCATGGGATGCATGCACCAGTCATGGGATGTGGCCTGACCCAGGAGGGAGCTGAGCAGTGACTCTTCCCAGCTGATGGTAATTCCAGCAGAGGGATGATATGAAAGGCTGCCATCCAGCAGCACTCCAAACAGCTCTTTCCCTTTGGTCTCGGAGGAGGATCTGCATGGCACACTACAGCATCCACTGCAAAGGGTTCTCCGCCAACCTCCTAAGGTCTAATAACCCCAACCTCTTCCCTTTCTTTGTTCTCCACCTAGGAATGGAAGCCACTTCCTGTAATTACTATCTCTAAATTATTTCAGCACCTCCTTTATGCTTTTTCCATTTTCCAACACCTATCTGAGCAATTCCTTATACTAAATTCTCTAGTGCTGCTCCTATTTTCCTGACTTATATATCCCTCCAACCATTAGAGAAAGTAGAGGGGAGAAAAACCCACACTTCTGACTGATTCTGTGGCCTACTGGCCAGGCTACACATAATCTAGACAGGTCAATTTGGGAACTATCAGGATATGTTTTGCTTTCAGCTCACACACACTCCCAGAGACATCTGAAAATACTAACATTTTGGTACAAAAATCTGGAACATGTCTTCTGTGCCCTCTGTGTGTATGCCTGCAGGTAGAAATGTGCCTGCACTCTGAGATCCTTCAAGCCCCAGTACAATCCTCGTACCACAGTTCTGACATTAATGCACTAAATGGCTCCTATGTGATCTGAAAACATTAACACAGTCACAGCCTGAGTGCCCAACCTCACATAGAAGTGACTCAGGTTCAGGGATAACTGGGCTGAAAAACAGTGTAACTAGGTTTTGCAGAGGCAAGAATGACTCGATGATATCATCTTTCCACTTTTCAGACTGCGACAAATCTGATTTTTGGTAAGACTGAAATGCTAGAGACCAAGAATGACATCCTAAATACACAGAGCTTGCCAGTTAGCCAAGTGTCCATCACATTTATCTGTAGACATAATCAGCTTCGGGAGACATGCCTGAACTATAATTCCCTGGCTCTCCTCATCAGCATTAAGTCATCAGAGTACAGACCCACTTCTGTTATTCAAAGCATGTTTTATTAACACAGAAAGACCACGATGCACCTTATTAAATTCATGGTGGGGGGGAGTTTAGACTCTGGTAAGCACCACTCCTGTAGTACAGAATGAACTTGGTTATACAGAGAAAGCAAAACACATCATTATTACCAAGATTCCTCACTGATGACAATTCTTACACCCCCCAAAAAAATGTTTTAAAGACTTTAGATATACAAATCTAAAAATATGTTATAACATTTAACATGAAGACTAAGTTTATTTATTTTTAATATGCTTTAAACTCTATTGAGTGTCTCTCACTCTGATCCTCCTGTTACACAAAGAGCCCTTTCATTGTTTTTCTCTCTGACTTCTCTCCTTTTCTCTGTCCTTGAGCAGAACTGGGGGCTGAGAAGATGTCTGCGACTGTAACTACGATGCATGCTCTGCGACCCTCTTGTGCTGGCTCCGGAAGTGGCCCTCGCTGCCGGGGGACACATCCTTTTGTAGGTTCACCATGCTGGTCTTGCCAGCCGTTTCGATCCAGGGATGCTGAAGAACTTGGTGGGCTGTGTAGCGCTTCTTGGGGTCTACCACCAGCAGCCGGCTCACCAGATCTTTGGCAGCTATTGGGGAGACAAGAAGGGGAAAACATAATGAACGCAGGTGATTCCGAAGTTTTCTTCCCCATACAGGAAATAAGGACATAAACATCCATGTTAGCCCTGCAGGCTGGCCAACATATTCTAGATGAAAAGGCGCTCCCATATTCCAGAGTGGCTCAGACCAACAGAAGATGGGGACATCTACATCTGCACCATCCACTTGTGATCACTGAGTATTTGAAATCTGGCTACTGAGGCCGAGGAATTTAATTTTATTTTACTTATTTTGAATTAATTTCCATTAAAAAATTTTTTTTGGTTTTTTTTGTATTATTATAAAATGTGGGGTTTTTTTTCTATTTTATTTTAAATTTTTTATTATAAAGATATGGGGTACAATTCAGGGTTAGGTATACAAATGTTGATTATGCAGGTACCCTTGTTGATGAGGTATGCCCCTCCCTCCCCAGCAGTTTCCCTCAACTGCCAATCTCACCCCCCCCTTACAGTTTCTCACTACTGCCAATCCCTTTCTTATATTATAATTTCCATTTAAATTTAAATAACCATGGATGGTCAGGAGCTACTGTGTTGGACAGCACAGTGCTGGAGAATGTGTGTTCATTTCTCTAGAATCACTGGGCCAAGCCCACCCCTGACATCCAAGACACCCAGGGCAAGAGAACAAATGGAAGCCACATCCACATGTCTATAGACTTTAACATTCTAAATCAAAACAACAGGTTGTTAAATAAAATGTTTAATCTTCCTAAGTCAATAAATATGCCTGCATATTGACAAAACTGAAAAAGAAATGTGTTAAGAAATCTAAGGAGTAAGTGGAGCAAATTCAAAATTAATTTCACTTTCCACACAAGATCATGCCTCATTCTAGAGAGGTGCAGTGACACCTGGTGGGCCAGGTGGCAGGTAAGGAGGAGAAGAGACTTCTCCCTGGCTTGCTGGTTCTCCCTTCCCGGTTCCTTGAGGCTGCCTTTCCACTTAAGAAATGCACAGGGGCCAGGTGCAGTGGCTCAAGCCTGTAATCCCAGCACTTTGGGAGGCCAAGGCGAGAGGAATGCCTGAGCCCAGGGGTTTGAGACCAGATGGGCAACTTGGTGAGCCTTCGTCTCTACAACAAACCAAAAAATTAGCCGGGTGTGGTGGCATGCACCTGTAGTTCCAGCTACTTGGAAGGCTGAGGCGGAAGGATCACCGGAGCCCAGCAGGTCATTAGGGTGGCCGTGAGTGTGCCACTGCACACCAGCCTGGGCGATGGAGTGAGACTCCAACTCAAAAGATAAAACTTTTAAAAATGTTTAAAACACACAGGAAGAAAAACTACTCTTTTTTTGCCTTTATTGAGGAGTGCTTTTTACTCAAGATCAGCTGTTCGTGCACCAATCACCTCCTCCCCTATACCCATGTCTAGCACCTCTTAAGAAAAGAAGTCATAGACTTCTCCTGCTCCAGTCAATTCAAGCTGGGCAAATTCTGTCCACAAAGTGCTCCAGCCTCACCCCTGCCAGCATCACTCCTTCAAGGTCTTCAAAGGACTCATTAAAAAGTGGACAAAAGACATGAATAGACACTTCTCAAAAGAAGATATACAGGCAGCCTACAGATACATGAAAAAGTGCTTAGCCTCTCTCATCATCAGAGAAATGCAAATCAAAACGACATTGAGATACCACCTAACCCCAGTAAGAATGGCCATCATTAATAAAACAAACAACAACAGATGCTGGTGAGGATGCAGAGAAAAAGGAACGCTTCTACACTGCTGGTGGGAATGCAAACTAGTGCAACTTCTTTGCAAGACAGTGTAACGGTTTCTGAAAGAATAGAAATTGATCTTCCATATGATCCAGCAATTCCCCTATTGGGAATATACCCAGAAGAGCTGAAATCATTCTGCAAAAAAGATACCTGGACACGTATATTTGTTGCAGCTCTAAATCACAACAGTAAAAACATGGAATCAGCCATGTTGCCCATCGAAGCTGGACTGGATTTTAAAAATGTGGTACATATACACAATGGAATATTATGCAGCCATAAAGAAGGACAAGCATATGGACTTCACAGCAACTTGGATGAATTTAGAGTCGATCATACTCAGTGATCTATCACAGAAACAAAGAACAGAGTACTATATGTTCTCACTCATAAGCGAAGCTTGAACAATTATAATACTATAGGAAAGGGATTGGCAGTAGTGGGAAACTGTCAGAGGAGGGGAGGTGGGATTGGCAGTTGAGGCAAACTGCTAAGGGAGGGAGGGACATACCTTATCAACAAGGGTACCTGCATAATCAACGTTTGTATACCTAACCCTGAATTGTACCCCATATCTTTATAATAAAAAATTTTAAATAAAATAGAAAAAAAAAACTCAGAAGCTGAAAGGCCAAATTTCAACTGAGAATTCTCAGACTCTTATGTATGAGTATGAATAACTGGACACCTGAGCCAACTACTTGGCCATCATTTGGCATAGTGGGAAGAGACTGGAAAGAAGTCACAAACCTTGGAAGTAAGGCTGGGACAGGGAATCCAGGGGTCCCAATGAAGTAGTCTAGAAGAGGGGACCTGGGTTCAGAGGACACATTCCTTTGGTCCGACAGTGTCCTCAGTCTGTGGGAAGGAGTATGGCCAGAGCAGAGCCCTCCATGGCCTGGGGCCCAGGACAGGGACCACCCATGCCCAAATTTAAGGATGGTGCTGCCCAGAACTTTCTAAAATGATTTTTAGTCCTTCCCCAGTTGCCACTGTCTTAATCATCTCAAGACCCTCACTCTCCCTGTGGCAAGTCACCCTCTACCTACCTCATTTAAGAGGAGAAAACAATGAAGTGCCTGCCTTCCTTCACCTCCGATCCCCGTGAGGAGATAGAGGCTGGGAATGGAAGCAGTCCAATAATTAATTTTAAATGGCATGTTTAGGGGAAATTGAAAATAAAAAGCTATCACTCTCATGGTACTTTTTAAGCTAAAGACTTAGACTCAAAATCCCCAATTACCTAGTTCTCAATTTTATAAGAGCAGTAAGTAGTATAGACAAATCAGTAGAGACAAAGGGGAAGATTCCATCTGGAATCAAATGGAAGTGAGGGCCAGCAGAGAGGAGAACCAAGCCTGCTTCCAGGTCACTAAAAAAATAACTGAGACCTTTACCCCTTGCCTTGCAGAGGCCCTGTGCCCAAGTGTGGCTCCACAGGGCGCTTGGTTACACACATGTGAAATAAGCATTTTCACTCTGTTCCATTCGTAAACACTTCTGTTTATGAGAGGGGACCCAAAAAGAACTGAAATTATCTTTTGGAGGGTGGGCCCCTACAGTACTCTCTGAATTTGTTCCTCTGGATCAAACAATCAACCAAAGTTTTTATCTGGAAGTTTTGATAAGGTTGTGTCATGATTTGCAGAAGAAATGCCCTGATTTGTGGCAAATAAGTGACTGGTTCTTCCACCATGACAAAGCACCTGCACACACCACACTGAGTATTCAGGAGTTTTTGACCCCCATGCCCCATTCTTTCTAGTCACCTGATCTCGCCCGATCAACAATTTTTGTCTCCCTGGATGAAAAAGTCCTCAAAGGGAAACATTTTGTGATGTGGAAGAGGTGAAACAAAAATGGCAGAAGCACTTAAAGGCATCAAAATTGATGAGTTCAAAAACTGTTTTGAGCAGTGGGAAAAGCGTCTTGATAGGTGTATTGCATCAAATAGAGAGTACTCTGAAAGTGACTGAAGTTGGCCATTGCCTTGCTAAGCTATGGTGTGGCCATGTGCTCTTTGAGCAATGTCTAGACCATGTTTCCTGGCTTTGGCCCCCTCCCCTACCTTGGGGAGGTGAATCTCCTCTTTGTCTCTCTCTCTCTCTCTCTCTCTCTCTCTCTCTCTTTCTCTCTCTTTCTCTCTAATTTACTTTCTAAATAAACTATTTTTTCCTAATCTAAAAAGAAGGAAAGAAAAGAACAGAAAGTGACTGAAGTTTAAACACATAATAATAAATAATAAATAAATTCCAGTTTCGGGGGGTTCCCCCTTGTATAAGATAGCCTTTCTCTTTCCAAATGGGAGTCACTATGTTTGTTTGTTTGTTTCTGAGGTTCTCTAACTGCCTTAAGGAACAGCACCTAGTGATTGCCACTGGGGAGGTTTGACTTCTTCATTAAATCTCAAAGCAAGGAATCATGTTTCTGGAGTGCTACACAAACCTTCATGAAACTACTAAGGAAGTAAAGAGTGAAGTATAGCATGTTGACAACCCAACTGACCTACGCATCTGACCTGAAAGTCATCCCCCCTCCTCTCCTGCAGGAAGAAGCCCCAAATCTCACCATCAGAGATATTGTCCCAGTAAGGGGGGAGGAACTCGAAGTGGCCCAGCTGGATGATGTTGAAGAGCTCGTCCTGGTCCCTGTCCGGGCTGCGGAAGGGAGGGAAGCCACACAGTAGGATATAGAGGATCACGCCGGCGGCCCACATGTCCACCTCCAGTCCATAACCTATGCAGACACAGGCAGAGACACAAGCAGACCTGAGACCAGACAGGGTCACATGTGATGAAATGAATGACGGAGATTTGTGGTTCTAAATAGATTCACGTCACAGACGACCCCAGCTCTCAGTGACCGAGAGCCGCTTTCAAACACGTGGGTGGGCTTTCCCGCCCAACCACGGTTTCCCTTGCTGCCAACTCCTACACAACAAGAGGTTTATGCCAGAGTTGCTCAAAGGAAAAGACAACACTTAGAAGCTTGAATTTGGAAATTAGAGCTTCATTATAGTCATCAATGACCCCTCTGGGCCAATTTTAATGGGCTTTTCTCAGTTCTCAACTATCTTTTCATGCTTAGGAGGGGCTGACTTTGCGGGGCCTCCTCATGCTCTTGAAATGTGCCCCTTGGCCTCTGTGACATTGCACTTTGCTAATCCTCTTCCTGTCTCTGAAATGCCCAACACTCTGCTGAGGCCTCCTGCCTTCTCTTACCCCAGAATTCTTGGCCTACCTCAAGAATCTGTCCTTGCTGGCATCACTAAGGAGCTCATTCATTATCTTGCTAGTTCAGCCACCATCTCTGTGTTGCAGAGTCTCAGAACTAAATGTTCAGCCCAGATCTTCACTTCCTTGCCAACTGGACAACTCCGTGTATTCATCCAATATCTGTCTACAAAGTCAGCGTGTCCAAAATTTAACTCACCCCATTCCCCTATCTCCCAAACATTTAGTCTCAGAACTAAATGTTCAGCCCAGATCTTCACTTCCTTGCCAACTGGACAACTCCGTGTATTCATCCAATATCTGTCTACAAAGTCAGTGTGTCCAAAATTTAACTCACCCCATTCCCCTATCTCCCAAAAGAACTTTCCTTTCAAACCTCCTATTTTAGTTAGTGCTACCACCAATGTGTGGTTTTCCCAAGGGTTCACACTGCCCGTTTACTTTCCTTCTTCTCTTATCCCGTTCATTAATGCTTCCATTTAAATGTCTATGGTCCCTCAGTATTAAGCTGGCCACACCAGGTCTAAATGCCTCTGCCTAGCCTTCCCATCAGTGGAGAACCTATTCAACCTACCCAACCAACTATATTTCTCTCTGGTCCACTGAGTCTTATCTTCTCAATGTCTCTACCATTCGACCACATGCATGTTCTCATCTCCTTGTCTCAGTGTTTCTGATGCTTCTGCTGCTAGGAAACTACCCTCCCTTCTCCCTAGCACCCAACAGACAACGCATCCAGAGTCTTCCCATCTCACTCCTGATTCCTCCAGGAGTGTGGCCGTAGTAAACCATCATCCATATATTTGGAGCCACAAAATAATTATTACAAATCCCTTTTTACATATTTTACAGACTGTATCACTAAAACAGTTTATTAGATCCTCAAACAATATACAAGCAGGTAATAAATACTCATGGAGTTTGAAATGGAATCTCCTTTTTCTCTAAATGCAAGGTTCATGAAGAAATGTTTAATCCGATGATTATAAGGATGGTTTCAGTTCTCTCCCACTGGAAGTTGCCTTGGGCCAGTGGCCCAAATAGCCTTGCTTGCTTGAGTTCCCCCCCCAATTCTCCATCATCTTTTACCTCCCTATCCTGCGTACACATGCACGTGCACACACACGCACACACAAACACACACACATCAATACATCCTCTGTAACAAGGGCAGCTCTGATAAGGAAATTAAGGTTCAAGCCCAAGCCTTAGTGCCAACTCTGAAATTTTTAACTCTTCCATATTGAAAACTCTTAAATATTAAAACTAAAACATATTAAGTGAGCTAGAGTCCCACAGAGACACATGCAGCACTTACCTTTCTCAGAGAGAATCTCAGGAGCTACATAAGTTGGAGTCCCACACACAGTAAATATAGGTCTCACCACAAGCTTTGCAAGTCCAAAATCAGCCAATTTCAAGGTAGTAGATTTGTCCTCATTTCGCTGAACCTGTAAGAAACCAAAATCCGCAAACCACCGAAATTGTGATGAAAACAAAGAAGGAACCCTAATGAAACAAGTATACAAGGTCAAGATAAGCAAACAATCAACCTATATGGGCTTACAGTTTAGCCCAACACTGACAAATCAACTTGACCTCAGTGACAAGTGCTCTCATTTTCAACTAAAGAACCAATGAGTTAGATGTACTGTGCCATCCAATATGGTAGTACCATATTGCCGTGAATGGCTATTTAAATTTATTAATTAAAATTAAGTTAAAATTTTGGTTTCTAGCTGGATGTGGTGGTATGATTCTATAATCCCAGCTACTCAGGAGGGTGAGGTGGAAGGATCACTTGAGCCCATGAGTTTGAGACTAGCCTGGGCTACATAGTGAGTCTCATTCTCAAAATAAAAAAATCAGTTACTCAGCTGCACTAGGCACATTTCAAGTGCTCAAAAGCCACCTGTAGCTTGTGGCTACCATACTAGACAACGCAGATAGAGAACTTTTCTATCAATGCAGAAAGTTCTACTGGAGAGCGCTGAGTTAGAACCAGGATAGATGACAATTTAAGCATAGACTAGTTTTCCTGAGAACTAGAACATGGCTGTGTGTAACGCAAAGGCTGTGGGGGGCGGTGAAGAACTTGAAATTAAAGTGAAGAAGCAGACAAGTAGGAGGATGTTAAATACAGGCCTTCACTGGGAGGGATGGGAGATTATTAATCAAACAGGTTTACAGTCTTTGAATAAATCCATGCCCAAGACTTATAACTAGATTGTCTTGGACAAATTTCTTTACTCATCTGAGTCTTCAATTCCCCATTTGTTAAAAACAGTGGGGGTGACCATTTCCAGCAAATGGGCTTAAGTCAGGAGTTCCTGTCTATGTCTGTAGTCTACCTAGAAAAGTATTAGCCCTAGGGTGACTGTGGGATATTGTTAGATCTGGACTGTTTCCCTCTATACCTGGCTTCTTTTTTACAACCTTCCTCAGGAAGTGGCCTCTGGCCAAGGCTGGGCTCTGAAGGGTATGTACATTTCCAGTAATGAATCTTGGGAGGCAGGTGGCCAAGCAAAACTGAGAACAATGTAGTTGTCAGGCTTAACCAACTTAATTGTAAACCTCATGTAGGAATTTGAATAATTAGCTTGATTGCTTAGATTATAAAACTGCTTGTACTTTGAGAGGGGGAGGGGAGAAGATTGCCTGAGCTCAGGGTTCGAGACCAGCCTGGACAACATGGAGAGACCTCATCTCTACGATAAATCAAAAAATTAGCCAGGTGTGGTGGCGCATGCTTGTAATACCAGCTACTTGGAAGGCAAAGCAGGAGGATCGCCTGAACCAGCAGGTCAAGGCTGCAGTGGCCATGAGTGTGCAACTGCACTCCACCCTGAGCAATAGAGTGAGACTGACTCAAAAAAAAAAAAAAAACTGCTTGCTATCGTGCCCTGAAGGGTGGATTCTTCACAGACCTATCAGAAGGCCATCAGTGCCTCCTGTAAGTTTGAATAAAACAATGTCTTCCCCTACTAGACCTCCGGGTGACTTCAGAATAGGTGAATGTTACGTGCAAGTCTTCTCAGATTTAGAGTTAACACATTACAGTGGCAAATAGTCCCAGTTTGCACTGAACTTCCACTAGGTTTTAGAGAAGGGTGCAATGTCTTTTTTTTTTTTTTTTTTTTTTTTGAAATAGAGACAAGACACAGCTACCCTCATTCTGAATGAATACAGAGACGACTCAACTCCTCCCTCCTTGTCCCCTTGAAAACTTATCCTACTTGAGTCTCATTTTTTCAAACAAGTCCAGGTGATTGGCTTTCTCATCTCTGGTAAACCAATTCCCACTGCCAAGTTAGCATGTCCTGCCCTCCTACCCCACAAGGTATTTGCATCGATGATGATGATTGTTAGGAAAAGTTGGGTCTTAATCTAAAAGATAAATCTTCAGCAGTAAATGTAGCAAATATTTATGCCACTGTGCAAGAAATAATAATAAAACTAAAGGTACATCCTATTTCACAGGAAGAAAGAAATAAGCACAACAAGCAATGAGTATCAAACCCAGCATACCTTGCAGCAAGTAAAAGGTGAACTAGTACCCTCACGCCGGAGACGCAGTTGTCCACCTTGGGGAAATGTTAAATAATCAGGCACAAATCAAAACTCTGGCCTCCTTCAATACCAGCTAGTACCCACACAAGGAAAGTTGAAAAGTCACTGTCCAGATCTTATAGAAGCTGATGGCTCAGACCAAAGGTAAACCATGCAATTAATTAAATAGCTACATGAAAACTTATTGGGATAAACCTTATCCAAGCTTATCCAAGCAAGAGACTCATTGGTGCCCCCACAGCTATAGGAAAAAGTATCAACTTGTCTGCAGGCACACACCTAGGCATCTGTCCTGGAACTGGGGCAAAGGTTCCCAACTTTCCTACCGATACCGGGGGCGGGCAGGCAGTGGGGGAAATCTGCTTTCCTCTGGGCCCCATCAGAGTCATGGGTAACACCAGGAATGACACAGTGGAGAAGCCTTTCCCCCACTTGCTTTGGTTCCTGGCAGTGAGCTCACATCTCTATAAGCAGCATGTGTCTTAATTACTTGAGCCTGAGCCACCACTAGACAATTTGATCAATGTCTCCATAATTAACCTAACCAAGTGGAAAAGCATATATTTAGAACAAAAATGAAATTCTGCTTGGTCTGTATATAGAGACAGACATTGCCCAAAAGAGGACAACAGGAGTAATTACTAGAATAATTTAGACTAAAAAATCTAGTTTGGAAGGAATGGAAAACAAAATAGCATGGTGCCTAGAACTTCCAGCTGGATCGTCTACATGAATCACATTGGTTGGGTAATTGCTGAAAAAATTTGTCCCTCATGAATATTTGTAAATGATCAGCCTTAAAAGCATATGGCTGAGGTAATACACCAAGATAAGATGTGTGTTCCTATCACAAAATAACTGAAACATCCCCTTCCTCATGGAATCCCCCAGTTCCAAAATCCAGCTCCAGAGAAATTGTAACAAAGTAAATGTTTCAGAAACTCGGATTTTTACTTTTTTGAAAATTTACTATGTTAAATGTCTAGTTATTGACAAATATATTTTCAAAATGCCAAATCTGTTTTTAAAGTATTGTATTGATATGGAGACCAGCTATTGTCTGTCCATATTGCCAGACCCCCTAGAGAAGGGGATGGCAAGGGATTGAGAAGGCTCTCACATACTCACATTCCTGAGAGCTAACAAAAGGGGCGCTTCCCCGTATCTCCTATGACTCCCAGTAAATAACTTCAAAGAATCCTTAACTTCCCTGCAGACTGTGCCCAATGAACTGAGAGAAATAAATTCCCATTTACTCCCTTTTCTTAGTAATGACAGGTTTGAATAATATAGCATTGAAGTAATCATAAGTCTTGCGATTTGTATAACTTCTTTATCAACGTAATTGTAAGTCTTGTGATTTGTATAGCTTTCGTGCACAACAACACGTAGTCATGAATGATGTCTTAGGCCTTGTTAACTCCCTTCATGCTACACTGTTACTGATAAAAAGCTGTAAGATATTCCTCTGGCAACTGGTGCCAGGAAACGCAGACCATAAATGTCATGACTGACAAAATCCGTGACTTAAGTTCTATACAAGGCTCTGCTAGTCACGTAGTCAACGTATAGATACCAACAATCCTAAACTTATAAAAGAGAACTGTAAAGCCTGAAGGGTGAACAGAACCATTTAGAAAGGCCAGGAGCCCGACTCTGCTCCCTGGATTCAAATTCAGAAATAAACTTCTTTCTACCAGTCTCCTGCCTCTTGATGTATGGGTGTCAGGGTTAGCAGCCAGCTGAGTGTTACTTAGACTGTAACAGTATGGGCCTGTGTAAAATGTACAATGTCTCCTCTCATCTCTTGTAGTTTTGCTTTTCTCTTTGAGTCTCAGGATCATCCCTGAGTAGTAACCATCACGTGAGCGGAACCCAGGGGTGGTTAGGATCGGTGATGTTGTTCGTTCTTTCCAGAAAGTGGCCCCAGACTGCTCAGTGCTTTGAATTCTTTGGTCTCCAGCTTAATATTCTTCAATGTTATCACACTTTTCACCTACATAAACAGCTTAATTATATGTGAGATCATACACCGACCGTACAAGTTTGGTGAAAGGACAGAACCCAAAATGGAATTTCTCTGGTCTCCTTAAGCTCATACACAATAATTCTTTCTGGGAACCCTGGAAGAGTCACAGGACATTGAGATTAACATCTAAGAATCTGTCTTTCAGCTACCAGCTCTGCCCTTCTCATCCATTTGGCTGACCCACCCATCCATCCAGTCAAAAACGGACCCCATCACCACAGCAACAGTTCCTAGGTTTACCTGCCCCCTTCCTGACAAGGGAGCACAGACCACCACCGCATCCCCATCACCTCCAGTGAATACTTGCCGCCCCCAAAGAAATTTTAAAAGCCCCTCTTCTCAAGCACTTACTGTCATGCTTTCTTTAAGCGCTGGCCCTCTCTCCAATCTTGAAGAGGTGGATCCACCCTCTCTCTCTCTCTCTCATCTACTTTCTAAATAAACTATCTTTCCCAATCTAACTTCTGCGCAATTCTTTGCCATACCCACAGCACCACCACACTGACATAACATTTGATTTTTCAACAACCACCTCACATTCTTGACTTCACAACAGTTCCTGCCTTAATCCTTGAAATTAAATGAGTGTCTGGGCAACTTGGCGAGACCTCATCTCTACAATAAATCAAAAATGAGCCGGGCGTGGTAGCGCACGCCTGTAACTCCGGCTACTCGGAAGGCTGAGGCAGAAGGATCGCCAGAGCCCAGTAGGTCGAGGCTGCGGTGGCCGGGAGCGGCCACTGCACTCCAGTCTGGGCAACAGAGTGAGACTCCAACTCACAAAAAAAAGAAATTAAATGAGTGATGTCCTCCTGGAATAATTCTTCCTCCTAGAATCTGCGGGACTTCTGA